ATTCGGACCATCCGGACTTCCCATTCAATTAGGCACACATAACTCACAGTACCGCAAACCCACATCAGCGGACCAAATTGCTGATTCAATTGCAAATGCGGGTCAACATTTTTGGGGTAACGAGCGTTCGGACCCAAGATTTCCATTCAAATTCATGCCACAAAACTTTGTACAATTCCTTGGGTAAATAAATTAGAAGTCTCCGGGATCGGGGGAAAATCATTTTTAATTATTTGCAAATAAAAGGCGTCCGAAGTCTTGCAATTAAGAACCGAAAAGTACCCACCGAAAAATGAGCAAATCATAATGAATAAATGTCGCACCGGAAGTGAGCGGAAGTCGAGCCAAAAGTACCCCCCTCCTCCATTTTCCCTCCAGTCCGCCATTACATTTCCGCTCAAGTAACGGGGATTATCAAGAAGGGTTGACGCCGGGTTATTCCTAATGGGAAACGCTGCTCGGCATAATAAACTGTTCGTTTCTTTTTCGCAGCTTTTGTTATTGCGTTCAAAGCGTGTTGACTTTGTTAATAAGTTTCGTAATAAGTTGCCGACCGGGCTAAGGGATGTCCAAGGATATAAACAAACCGCAAGGGCATAAATAACCCAAGAAAGCGGCTAAAAAAGTGTGGTGCAAATGGAATTTAGGGAGACTGATTAGTGGGGATTAACAGAATACCCTAGAAAACGAGTTCATTTGTTTTGTGAAGTCTTGGTCTTAGATCTCCTGAATTGTGGTTACAGATTTTCGATTGTTGTCTATTGAATAGGTAGATGCTTAAAAGGTTATTTAAACATCAAACTTTATCCGAAATGAAGTTCAAAACTGCGTGTAACTCTTTATAAATTCCCCTTTTCAAGCAGATAAAAAAGGAAATATCCTTCAACTGTCATTAAACCGCAAAACCTCTGCCATAGTTCTTGGCTAGAGAAAGGCGAAGAAGAATGTGGAAACGGCAAAAAAAGATGATTAATTTACGCGTTCATTGGTCTACGCTGTCCTTTCTGGGGACGCTGCCTCAATGGGACTCGGCTCTCATTGTTTGCGGAGATTTACAAAAGCAGCCGAAACTTAATTTGATTAACTTTGAGTAGGTTTTTTTTGTCCCCTTTGTCTTTCCGGCTTCGGTTCATCAGCAGATGAGATGCGAGCGGGAAAACGGGGATAGAAGAGGATTGGAGTGGAGTGATGGAGTGGAGGAGAGGTGGGAAAATCAGTGGGCAGGAGCAAAAAGTATGGGGCAAGGAGCAACGTTGACGTTGATAATGATGTGGCCAGCCATCATCAGCGCTCGTCCGTTGGCCATAAAAAGTTAGAGACTTTTAAGTGTCCTGCGTTGGCATTTTATTTAGTTTATTGGTTGGCAATGGCAAATGAGAACACCAGCTGAGAGATGAGGTGGAGCGTGCTTATGGCTGGGGCGTACTACATAGACGGGGCTCGTAAATCGGCATTAGTGCTCTTAAATGATGTTCACGGCATTGCACAGACAATGAATACGAATCGCGAGGCGAAGGCAAATTGAATGCCAATTTTATTTGAACTTAATTAAATGGCTAAAACTTTTTTAGAGAACAATTGGCCTGCTTTCAAAGTTTGTAGCAGCTGTTGTCGCAGAACTGTTTCATTTGCTCTTGAAACTTTGAAACTTTAAACCTCTATTCGTAGATGTTTTTTATTTATTTAAGTAAGCAGTTGTGTTAATGTTACCTAGTGTTTCCGAGGGATTTACCTTTGACTTGAAACCTTTATAATTAGTTGGTGTATTCGAATTTCCCTGGTGCACTTGGTGTTTATATTTTATTCACTCAATATTGAACTTTTCATAACTTAATTAAGCAACAACGGGAGTGAAATTGCCTTCATATATGCAATACTTGCCGTTACGGGATCCTTCGGAACCTAAAACTTTGCTGAGTCTGTGCGCTCTAATGTCTTTGCTCTGGCAATTTGGCTAAGGGCGTTTTGCTGTTTTGTTGTTCGGGGCCGCATTGTTGTTGCCTTTCAGCTGCGATCCTTTCTATTTCCCCACTGCTGTTGCTGTTCTCGGTAATGTTTGTTTTCATTAACATTATTGTTGCTATTGTTGGGCGGCCAGCAACAACAACAAACATTGACGCAACTACACTCGAATGCATTTTGTGCAACAGCTACAACAACACCGTGAGGAACAACAATAATAAAAGCAACAACTCCAAAAGCGCCCAAAGGTATAATTTCAATTTCAACACTTTACAAACACGCCACAGTTGCGTCATTAACTGGGAAGTTTGCATGCGCGTCTCGTCTGCAGTTTTCAGTCTCTACACTGCACGCTACGGATTGAGATAATAATGGTAAATATTTAGATTAAATCTAGAAGGTTAAGTGTCTATAATGTACTTGAAATTAAGTTAGAAAATCATACTATGAATATTGAAAAATAATCATGTAAAAATTCAGTTTAATTGTTTGACTTTCCATAGTCAACTAATCATGATTAATTTAACAAAGGACTGTAACTATGGATTAACTTGACTAAACAGAAATTCCTTCAATTATCCATATTTGTTGTGTTTTCAAGGACTGCAGTGCTTGTAATTTGGAGAAATAAATATGTTCAAAAGGAATATTTTTCCCTTATTCGGGAAAACGTCTTTCAAAAAACTGTTATTTAAATTAGAACAAATTTGTCAAGTGCATTTGTGTATTCATGTCTGTATCGCTGCGTGGCACTAAGTGCGCTGACTGACGGAAATGGCCGAGAGCAACAACGGCGACGGCAACGTCGGAGATGAGTTCAACGCAGCGTCAGGTGCAACAGCAACTGCAGTAGTAACAACAAAAACAGCAGCAGCAGCAGCAACTAGTATCAGCTACAACAGCAGCAATAACAACAAGCTAAGGACCCTTTTTCAGTAGTTGTTGTTTCATAAAACTTTATTGTTGCATGTTTGTTGCTTTGCGGCATTGCCGGTCGTTGTTGGTGTTGCTGTTGCCACTGCTGTCGCGGCTGCTGCAATGCTTCAAGCCATACATAAAATCATTTGAGCCACCCCGCCCTCGAGCATTGACTAATGCTGACACCCCGGCAACAGCAACAGCAACAGCATCAGCAACATCAGCATCAGCAACGTGGCGAACATTACAACAGTTGTGGTCCATTAAGTTGACGCTTTTCCGTTGCATTTGCTGGGACATTCGTCCCAAAGCCGTCGAGATATTCCCCCGCCTGTCTTTCCAGTCTTTCGAGGGCGTTGATAGCCATCTAACTGGGCGAGCAGCCGCCAAGCTAAGTGGAAAAAGGCCACAGTTCCGCTTGGTTATCTGCGGCAACCTTCAAGGTGACTGTGCCGGGAAACTCGAAACGGACGAAAGCCCTCGGTGCACGTTAAATCGATTTCTGTGTCGCCCCCAGTAAGGAGGAGAAAAATCAATTTCAGTCCTGATGGAATAATCTAATTTTTATTACCACTGCATAGCAATTCGTCATTTGCTTATTCCATTGCATACACAATCACAGGAGGGGCTAACATGATGGTACTATTTCCTAAAAACTACGTTTCTCATGTCCTCAAAAGAACTTTCTTTGGTCCTCAAAACAAAAGTCCATTTATTTAAAAACGCATAATATGTAAATCTAATAATAACTTGTTTGTGGGAACTTAACACTTTTTAATCACTAAGAGTAATAATAGTATTAGTTTTACATAGTAAAAATACGTTGCGATAAAATAATTACGAGTGAAAGCATTAATTCGGCTTTTATTACCAATTCACAAAAAATGTTAAAGTGTGTCATGTTTGGATTCACTGCTCTATGGTTTTAACCTCAGCTGTATACACATAACTTTTATCTTCTTCCACCATTTTTCATCGACTAAATGCTGCCGGATGCACAAGCTGCAAAAACACCGGCAAACAGGATTGCACATTTCTTTTATGCAGTAATCATTTGCGGCACTTTATTGAATTCCAAGCGGGAGCGGCAACCGAAAACAGCCCGCACAACAAGCCCCGCCCACTTCCGCCGACCGCCATCCGCTGGCAGGTGTTGGCTTTGCTCCCTTTTCCCCTCCCCCTTGCCTTGGACTTCCCTTGGCATTTTCCGCTTTTTCCGCTTCGATTTTCCCTCTTGTTATTCCTTCCCACACATCACATGCTTGCTTTGGCTTCTTGCTTGCCTCGTGATGTTTGCCTTGCTTTGCCCGCCCAAAAAGTGCAGGAGAGCGTTGCATACTTAAAGGCGAAAGTCAACCGCAGTGAATTCCACCATCGACAGCCGCCATCTTGCAGAAGCCAGTGTGCCCAGGCTGGCTTTTTTTTAGAAAATAAATAATTTTAATGTTTTTACCTGGGTCGGTTATTTAAATTTACCAAAAGTTTTGTGTGCATCAAATTAGAAATCAAACTGATCCAATTTTATTGTCGTGATAAAAAAGAGAAATAAATTGATTTAAATCGATGTGTGTTGATTTGTTTTGTAACAAGGGAACAGATTTTAGTTAGTGCAGGTTAAATTGAGAAATTGTTTTTTTATTGCCAATAAAAGTTTTAAATTGCATGAATTAGCTTTCTCCGTAATAGCTCTTGCAGCCTATTCGCCGCATGAATTTTTTCGCTAAAAATTTAGCATCACTGAGTGTGTGTTAACTCGGAGCGCGGTAATCTTGGGCAATCTTAATGCGGATATATTAAACTTATTTTTACAGCATTTCTTTCGACGATTGCTTGGCCTCCTCCCGAATCTGGATTCTTTATTTTCATATACTTTGTATTACTTGTGCCGCGCCCTTGATCCCCCCACCGCCTTCGACTTCCTCAGATTTGGAGAGTGCGATAAACTAGCTGCCTGGCAGCCCTCCCCTCCAACACCCATCCACTTTTCAACACTGGCAGACAGACAGTAAGTGGTGCAGTGGGTGGGAGTTGAGCTTCGAATGCGTATGTGTGTGTATGTATCTCGCAACTTGAGGCGCTTGCCACTTCCGCTGGCGGTCTATAAGAAAACACTAACACACTCGCTGTGGGGATACAACTTTTCTACTTTCCATTTATTTTTTTTTTATTTTTGGTTTTTCTCTCGCTTATTTTAGTTTTATTGCTCGGCATTTTATTGCACAAATTTTAATATTTATTTTTGCTGTTGGTTTATTTTGCACTATGCCTGGAAGGCGATGCCAGTGTGTGGATTGAAGTGTGTTTGTGTTGGTTTTACCCCACACACACACACACATACACAGATATTCTTTTCCAAACGCGGGATGCTTTGTTTGCTGTCTGCTCGCGTTTAGTTAACGTTTTTCTATTGCAGCTCCATTTTAATGTTTAACAAACTTGAATGGCGCAGTCGAAAGCTCCCAAACAAACAGAAAGAAAATACAAACGATTCCAGCTCTTTTTCGCTTTTTCATTTCTTGTTTGCCCCTTGTTTTGTGCGAAAACTTTTGTGCAAATTATTTTAAACTGTTGAAATATTTTTTTTTTTTTTGCTCTCGCATTTATCCCATTTGTGAGTACTTTTGCGAGTTCTATTATAGGATTCAGAGCGAATTAAATAACGATTTGAAGATCTTGGTTATGGCTTATTCATAATTTTGGAAGCCACTATCGAGTTATGAAATAACGAAAATTCACGTCATGCTTAAACTGTTCACCTACAGAAACTAAAAAATAATAATGGCATTAATTGTAGTTGGGGCCCGAGTATGGTTTACAGCCAGGGAAATCTGGGTCCAGGTGGAGGTGGGTACATAAACTGCAACTGTTGATTCTGCTCAGAGTGATATTGTCTTGCCCTCGGAGGTTGGACTCCCAGCTGTCTTGGCGAATATTCTGGATTGTAGTTCTTGAAACTCGGAGAGGGACTATAATGGTCACCATAACCACGATGCATGGTTGGACTGGATCTTTGAAAGGCACTAGATAATAGGAGAACCTTAAGCATCAGTATGAACTGATAATAGAATACCTACTTAGCAACATAACGTGAATTATATTTAAGGTTTCGCTCGTCAATTGCTGGTGAATTCCCATAAAATCGGGATTGAAAGCCTGGGTTGACCTGCATTATTCCCGGCGGCGGATGAGCATGATGAGCATTATTCTGCACGTTATTTGAATTGTACGGATGACTATAATTAGCGGCCATTATCATATTGCTTAAATTATCATTTCCGTACAGTTTAAAAAACTGCTCAACATTTTCCTGGCAAATAATAACGCATTAATTACATACCGACTCTTTAAAACTAACGTCTTACATCTGGGCAAAAAATGCCGGGTAACCGCATGCCGCTGTTTTCCATGTTTTAATTTTAAAAAATGTTTAATTTTGAAACTGGAATTTTGGGGCGGAACTAGCTTGTTGTATTAGAGACGAAAACCGACTTTAAAATGATATTTTTTTGGCGTTGCTTAATAATCATTTTTGAAGTATATCTCTAGGGTAAAAATAATCATGGTACATTTTATTGGTAAGAGAATTCGATAAAAATTAACTGAATCAATAATCGCAATTTAAGTTTTCCTTCTGATCGGTAAATGAAATTTAAGTGTCTCATATTTTTATTTACTTTTATTAAGTCGATTACCATTCAACTGACCTTTGAGTGCTTCGGGGCAACTTAAGCGTTAAGCAGTTGACAGGCAATTATTGCACCCCTACAAGGCCATCAACTACTCGGCACATTCGTTTAATTCTCCGTTTATTAATTTACGTTGAAAATCCTTGACGACAGGTTTATGTTTTTACCGCTGCCACGGCAACCTCATTACCGCCGACTTATTGTAAATAATTATTTGCGGCTTACAACCGTTTTTTGTGCCCTTAGCGTATGCGGAATTTATGAATAAATCATTTGATCCGCATTCGCCATCGGCAGTCCTGCTTTCGAGTTGATGACCCCTTCGCCGGATAATATGCAATATGCATTTCCGTGGCGCCGTCGATTCGCTCGGCAGGTGCTCGTCGTTGGTTTTTAATTAATCGAGAACTCATAAAAATATTAAAATGCAAAAAAGCACAGAACTTATGGCGAAACGACAATGGCCCGGCCATATCGTCAAGGGTCGATGACGAGTGGGAAACGGCGATGCATGTTTTATTGCCCTGGCATGTCATATGCGTCTGAGTGGCAAAAAGGCTCCGAGGTCCTGGCGGTCTGAAAAATATTAAATTTTATTATTTGGTTTTTTAATTGGTGGATATTATGGCCACGCTCGAATTTCTCTGTCAAGGTACAACCATACAAGGGTTTAAATAAGAGAGTGCTTACCTTTTAATCAGAGTTGGATTCCTTGCTATTTCATTTTAAACAATTTTAAAATAAGTTTTTAATTTATTAGTTTTAGAATTAGCAGTTTTAACCAGAGCTGCCAACCTTACAGTAAACTAATCAACGCTGTTTATTAATCGATAAACAAGTTTTGACATTTCATATTTTTTATGTGCCAGTCAACTGAAGAATTTTCATTCGACAACTGATTAAACTGCGTGCGTGCTGCAATCATGGCGGATCCAAATGCAAAGAACAAGGAAGGTGCGTTAAAAAAATTTGCACCTTTTAAGCAAACTGCCAACTATTATTTAACATTAGGTAACGAACATGTTTCGGATTGGTCGGTTGCTGTTTCAACCAATGAGAATAGCACAAAAGAAAACGAACTCGTCTCCAGTTCGAATTTAAAGGAAACGTTAAGTGCTAAAAAAAATGACAAGAATGAAGCATCGATGTCAGAACCAAGTCGTTCAATGTTAAGTTATAAAACCCGGTTGGGATCAGGAAGCAGTGACGACATTAATTACGGAGAATATGAATTAGCCCCCCAAGTAATTGAAGGCAATATAAACCCTTGTTTAAAAGATAAGCCTATTGCAAATGATTTTGGAAAGACAAAATTTTTGTCGTTTTCCTCCACCAGCTCAGAAGAGCCAGAAATAAAAAGCGCATTGGATAAGTTATTGTCAGGAAAAGGCGATGTTAGTTTAGGTCCAAGCTCATCAAAAGAAGCTTATGAAAAAATTGCAACTAAACCTGACGCTGATAATACTTCCTCAGACTTTTCTACATCTAGTGGTGAGGATACTTCCTCGGACAGTTCAACAATAAGTTCAGACTCAGACAATAGTTCCGAGGGTGAAGATACTTCATCCTCTATCAGCTCAGAAGAGTCAGATGCAAAAAATACTGAGGTAAAAATATGTTCAACCATAGACAAGTCCTCTGTTTCGAGTTCTACATCTAAGTCTAATCCTGATGTCAATGTCCACCTAAAAGAGAATTCTGAGAAAGCCCCTTCTCCAGAAAAAGGAGATAAGATAATGTTAACAATGGAGTGTTCATCAGTTTTGAATACCGCATCTAAATCTGATGACATTAATACTTCACAGGACATCCATTCTCTAGAAAATGTTGAATTTAACTTAAGTCCGAGCGCAGAAGAGGAAAAAAAAGAAGCTAATGAAAAAATGGAAAGCGAACCCATTTATGAGGATATTTCTTCGGGGAGTTTTGAATTCGGCTCTGATACGGAAGATACTAAAGGGACAGGAAAATCTTTAGACTCTAAGTCTATAGTTGGTGAGAAGTTTAACCCTAAGATTTATCTCAGGAAGGATCTTTTTGTAGAAAATTTAGGTTTAGGCGTAGATTCCAGCTCAGTAGAGAAAACCAACAAACCTGATGAAAAAATAGCAACTGAACCTCTTTATGAGGATATTTCTTCGGGGAGTTTGGATTCAGGTTCTGATACGGAAAATACAAGAAATCCCGTAAACATTCTGGACACAACCGAAGCTATTGAAGAAATGGCAACTGTTCCTGGCGGAAAGGTCGCCATAAATTTGAAGGACAAGCCTTCTCAAGAAAATGTCTTCAGCAGCTTAAGCCCAAGCTCAGATGCAGAAACCAACGATGAAAGTGGAAATTTGGTTATTGATACTTCTTCGGATGGCTCAGAGAACGAAAATAGTCCTCAGTATCAATATTCCTTGTCCTCAGCAGATTCTGATGTAGAAACAACTGATAATTGTACTAGGGATAAAAAGCCAAGTGCCAAGGTAACTCCTAAAACTACTAGCACCGAAAATAAATCCCCGAAGGAGTATTTTTATGGCAGCAATGTGGAAGAACACAGGTCCTTGGATGATCAGTACCTTAAAAAGTTTGGAAACAAGTTGACTGTGAAGTTTAGTACCACGCTACCAGCTGAAAGCATTGGACTTCCTGATGAGCCACGACGCCTGGTGAAAGTTCCCCAATTTATACACTTGGAACCCGTGGCCTATGAAGCTGATTCTTATGAGAGTTGCAGGACGTTACAAGATCTGAAGGATAAGAAGACTCGCGATGACTTCCTAAATCGTCTGAAGACAACAGTGAGATGGAGGGAGAACCAAAATAAGGTCAAGGAATCGAATGCGAAGATTGTTCGCTGGACCGACGGCAGCGAGACATTTCACGTGGGCTCCGAGGTGTTCGATGTGATGCACCACCCGGTGTCCAACGACCAAAACCATTTGTATGTCCGCTTGGATAGCTTCTACCAGGCTCAGGGATTGGTCAAGGACAAGATAACTTTTCGCCCCATGTTGGACTCCAGTTTCGGACAGAGTCACGTAAAGGGCTTGCGCAAAACAGCCGTCGATCATCCGCAATCGGGATGTGTGAAGGTGCTAATGGACTGGGACATGGGAGCCGATCCTGTGCAGGATCGGGAGCAGCGCGTCAAGGAGGAGATGGCCCAACTTCGCCGGGAGGAGCGTGAGAAGCGTCGCGACAATCAAAAGCGTCGGCAAAGAATGCGTTCTAAGCCCATGCAACCCTCTTCGAAAAAGGACTCCAGCGAAAGGGAAAGTGAGGATGGCGACGATGGCGACGATGGCGATGATGGCGACGATGGCGATGATGGCGACAATGGCGACGATGGCGATGATGGCGATGGTGACGACGATGACGACGGTGACGTCGATGACGACGGTGACGACGAGATGAACGATGAAAATTGTAGCGAGGAGGAACTGTCTTTTGAGCCAAGTTGCAGCACTTCAAACAGCAAGAACAACAACCAACCAGACCCGAAATCAGATTCCGATGAGGATTTTAAGCTGGGTGCTAAACGCAAGGCCAAAAAGTTGGTCTACTCCGATTCCGACTCGGATTAGGTATTCAACTATTCGGTGTTCTCAAAATTGCAATAAACATAATGCATTAGACAGACCCCAACGAGGAGTAGCACCCGACTGATAATTAATTAACAATTTCTCGCCCCCTCGATGGGCGGACGGCCATTGCCGTAATTAGTGGGCGTGGCAGCTGTAGCACATATTAGCAGCCGGCACTGAAATTGCTTAAGGTCACAATGGGGTCGTGATTGCAGCAGAGAGCACTCTAACCCAAAAGCCATTGTCCGACTGCCAAACTGGCCGGCATTGCAACGCCCAAAGCAATTAGTGGGTAGGTGCACTAGATTGTTGCCTGGTGTTTTTGGTAGATTGAAGGGGGCTAGTGGGTGGCAGTTGGTGGCAGCAAGGGGGTGGGTTTGGGTCACCTGCGGTCACCAGCTCGATCGGATTCTGCTCCATGGTAGGCACTTTATACTGCCCCACGGCCATCCAACTTAAGGTTTGCATTAGTAACAAGAGTTGCTTTTAGGAAAAGCACGAATTGGTGATTTTTTTTGTTTAATTTTATCTTAATTTGAAGATGAGTATAATTAATATGTGTCGAAATAATTGATTTTTTACTCCAGGTTCTTAAAATTGAACAAGAAATTTGAAACCAGAGAAGCCGCTGCAGTGTTTTCCCCTCATATAATTATTTCGGGTATCACAAAAAACGTTTCGTTGAAACTTTAAAGGGCAATTTTAATTATGAATCAGGCAAAAACATTTCGATTACTTTAACAATATATTTATAACAATATATTTTAAACTCTCTAATTGATAAATTTCTAAAGAAATTGTTTTGTGACACATCATACATTTAAAAAAAATGTATTTTAACATGGAGCTAAGTTGCTTCCCTTATTTGTTCCTTTTACCAAGTACAAAGAACTTAATGTCTTTTAGTTAACACAATCTAACAGAACTTGGACTTATCTCATTTAATTCCTAGCCCAGCTTTATTGAATTTAATGATGCACTTCAGTACTTGCTCATTTAACCGACAGAATTAGATCAGGGGCTTTTGAAACTTATAAGCTTGCCTGCCGAAAGGGGGATTGTGTTTCCTGACGAGGCTCGTTTGCTTCAAAGGCCCATAAGCTCATTACAATGAGCCTGCTCTGTTGTTGCCTTTGCGAGAGAAATGCATTCGAATGTAACTGAGATATGCCTTAACTTGCTAAAGGCCATAAACTAAACTGTCACGGATTTTCGGGTTGGGAGGAGAATCGGGCTTGCCACACGATACGCCTGCAGGCCAAATATCTTGCACACATATTTGCCGACAAGTTGGCAAGCTGTGTGGGCAAAAGGTGGCAAGTGGGTGGTAGCACGTCAGTCTTTGTGCTAATGCAATTTAGTGCCTCCTGCAGCAAATGAACCTTGATTATGTGTTTATTAGACACCAATTTACGCCTGCTGCAATGTTGCAATGTTGCCTCTTCTCCGGCGGCTGCTTCGTGTTTAAGCCGCCTGGCATATTTCAATTTCACGCCATTGTCATATATATCACTTGTCGGTTTATCTGCAGTTATGCAGGTGCATTTTTGGCCTACCCTCTCATTGTTGCACAATAACGAGACCTGCAAATATAATTATTTCGATAGTGCTGATCAAAGAAGACGAATTTATGAGCTCCATTGATTGATTGCTCGAATTAAGATTAAGTATGTGGTGTTTATTAAGGGACAGTGGAGTTTACTTATTTGCAATGGTATGCAAAATGCTAAATATGAGTTGATCCTTAAAGCTTTAATTAATTAAAAAATTATATCTATTATTGACTAGTAGGCTATTGTTTATTACATATTTATATTCAAGATTAATTAATAACATTATGACTTTTTACGATAGACCCTTTACAATTTCTAACAATGTCTGATGAACCTTAGGAGATTTTGACCACTAACAACCTTTAACTAGACACTCTCATTAACCCAAAAGTCTTGGTTTTATGGCCATAATACATATACAGGAAGGTATACTTGTTAGCCAGAGCAAACACAATTACACTTACGCACTCAAATTTATTTACAGGACATAAAGTAGACACTCGTTTTCGCACACACACAAGGTCAGGCCGTTGAACAACCGTATCCTGTTAGTTTACATACCTCGAAGGCATTAATTATTTATGAAGAGACAGGCTGAAACAGAAATCCACTGCGAGAGGGAAAGAGTGGGGAATGGACTTAAGTGGGAGGGAAAGGAATGCAATAAAATTACAAGCAAATGCCGTAAACACGAAAGGTTTTGAAATTCAAGCTAGTGAAAACGGCACTAAGCTTGTTGGCCGTGACAACTGGCAAACAGGCCAACTGGGCAACAGTAATTAAAGGCTATAATAAAGCTAACGTTTCTCAAGAAACCAGACGGAGGGACGAGGACACCATAGGCACATGTCAGTTGTCAACGCAGCAATTTGACAAGGTTCGCACTGAAATGCCCAGATATATCCCTTCCCACAATAACAAGCAAGGAGAAACCGCAAAAACGAAGCTAAATGCTGACCAAGGCAAGCCATTAGACCAAGTTAGCTGTGGTACAGTGCAAAACAGAATTTGTATTTTAGCTAAAAAAAAATTCATATCAAGGTAACAAAATGTGCTTTTCAGCAGGAAATTCATTTTTAAGACGTTCATAATTTCATTATATACCTATATAAGCCAAAATAATTAAAATATAAATAATTAGGTTTATTAAAAGCCAAGTATATTTAAGGAAGTTTACTTAATTATAAAGTTTTAAAATAATTATTTTTAAAATATCAAGTAAGCAATCACGAGTGTCTGAAACCGAAATTTAAATAACAAATATATATATATAGTTCAAAATTTTAGTATATATAAAAAAAATAAAGTCCTTTCTACTTTTTCTTTAAATAAATTCAAATTTTGTTTTCTGTATTTCTGTTACTCTTTAGATTCTTGGCTTTCTCTTTTAAGTACTGTGGCTTTTTAGCTTTTAAGTCAAGCGGCTGGCATTAAAAACTTAGTGACATACTCATTTACGGCAACCCGCACTGCGTGAATGAAGGGATTTCGGGCCATGGAACTTTGTACTTCGAACCATTTTGGTGCCCGGTTTCCTCTCTGTTTATGACAGTTGTTGTAATTTAACAGCCTCTCATAAACAATTGGCAATTAGGCCATCGAGCTAATATTTGCCCAAATCAATGAACGCTTAGGCAGCGATACTATTCCATTTAGTTTTATTCTATTTTACAGGCAAGGAGGTTTTAATGGCATTACCAGCCAATGTTTGCACACAATAAAGAGAATGTGAGTGTTTGTGTTTTTCGGTCATTAGTCGAATATGCATCAATGTTTATAAATAACTTTACACTTAATGCGAAACAGGCGGAATTGCCAGCACACAAACATTAACACACGCAATGCATTTAAGAGGTTTTCCAATAGACCCCACAGCTAAAAAATTAAGATTATTGAATAGATGTTACATTTAAGAGAAAAGGTGAAGGCGAAAGCATGCCAGATAGTGACACTATCGTGCATAAACTTAAAAGTTTATTAATGAAGTAGTCCGTAGGGACCATCGCTTTAAGCAATTAATTCTTATTTCAAGTCGGGATTAAAACGGAAGCGGTCATGTTTCATTTCTTTCGTCAACTGACTGCCTCAAAACTATCTGCTGGAATTTTGCTCTGCTTTTTCCGACACGCCCTGTTTTTGTTGCTGCTAAATAAGATGCTAGTAATCATTTTTGTCGGCATTAGTATGGTTGCCGAATCAAAGGTGTACAGCTTTGTTGCTTGGAGTGCGATTGTCAAACAAACGCTGAAACTTTTTCTATTAACGCTATCCGTCCAAGGTGCCTCGTCTTAATGCCAATGTTGGCACACAGTAAAGAGCCTTAGAATCAAAAGTGTCTGTGCGATTTTAGTTGTTTAGTTGTTAATGGAATAGAATGTGAACAGGTCAGAACAGAAACATTAACAAGCGCAGTGATCACATTTGTCTTTTAAGTAAATAATTCACGTAAATATGCATAGCTGTAAGTTGCGAATCTGCTTGATTTGACTAATTGTTAAAATTGTTGGCATTAATTGATATATATTGGCCTAGAGTTGCACAAATACAGACATTTTCACGGATATAAGATATATAGTAACTGAAAACATTTATGGGAAGCTGAATGATAAAATTAGCGAACTATAGAAGTATTTTGTAAAAGACAATACATAATTTGGGGAAAAATATAGAAAATTGTATTAAAACAAACGAAGATTGTTGTTTTATTGTTTGCTTTATTTTATTTATAGTACTTAATTTGTTTGCTGCGATATTAGTGTGAAATGGAGTTGCATTTAGCTGTCATCACCTGACACAAACCGGTATATGTCAGGTCCAATGGGACAACAGATCCTGACAAAAGTTAAGTTGCCATTAGGAAAATTAGTTTTATAGCAACTTGATTAATGAGAATATTTCTTCATTTTAATCGAGCTTTAGCGCAAGAAGGACCAATCGAGTTTACGGGACATGAGAGCAGCAAAAGTTTTCGCCGTCCTTCTCCGCGTTATTTTGTTCTACGGCAGATGTACATGCGTAACCTTTTTCCGCCTAAAAGATCAACCAGAATTGGTTCTAGTTGTCGAGGGAAGACTTTGGCATCGACCCTACCTTAAGTGGATATCCATAATTTTGCGACTCCTGCCTTTGTGTATCAGTACCTACGTACACATTTTGTGGATTCAAAGGAGTACCAACTTGGTCGAACAAATTTTACATTCCGGTCGCGTTGTAGCTATAATGTTATGCTATCTGTCGGTTATTCATCTTAACATTTGTAAAGGCAAAGAGTTGATTAAATTGGTAAACATATATCTCAGTCTCTTCCGACGAGTAAGATCCTTGTCCTTCAGTAAATATAATGGATTTGGAAACGAACGAGAGGTATTCTTGATTCTCTGCTTTTTGTGCTGCCAAGTGCAAGAAATAGTCTTTCATTTTGTATTATTCTCCTGGATCTTTCAATGGCATATAGTTATCGACTGGATTTGCTATGGTT